TCAAAATCACATAAAGCCATATTATAATATCGACTGAGATAAATAATATAATAAAATATTAAAATCATGATGTATCTCGCTGCATTGCGCGAGTACGCTTCTAGTATTATATAATATAGATGATATAAATATAATGAATATTTTAATAATATAACTTATTGTTTCATGTATTTAATAAAATATTATTTCTTTCTTTTAAACATCGAATATTTAAGAATTTTTTATTGACAAATATATAATAAATAATATTTTTTTTCTCCTAAAAATCATTTTTGGAAACTTATCTAAATTTAAAGAAATTTCATACTATCTCATACTTTTCTCCATTTTATGATATAACAAATTCATCAAAATAAAATTTAAGGTCGTTTATCAAACATTTATCTAATAAGTGTTTATCAGTAAAATTTAATATTATTATTTATTTATCGGGTAAGATTTTAGTCCATCAAAACGATATTGTATGCAACAGTTCATCTGGTAAACGCTTACCATAATAAAAGTCATCGTCCTTACTTGCTAGGTAAGACTCATAATTTACCGGGTAAGACTTATAAACATAAAAATGTAAATAAAATACAGATTTTGATCCATTTTCTTGAAAAGCAAAAGAGTGAATGGAAGCCAAAATCAATCATGCAAGCAATCTTGAAGTGTTCAAACACTCGACTTATAAAAATGGTGGAGTATTCACCTGGTGCAACACAAATTTAATTTATTGCTCCAAAATTCCACGACTTACGACACTCAAACCGATGAAAACGACGTCGTCGTTGTCGTCCCCATCCTTCTTTCTAGATTCAAAGATCAGTGGTGCCCTTTTTATCTTCCTCTGATTCATGCTGAAATCACTCAGTGAAAACAGACAACATATAGAAACAGAATCACATAATAAAAACAAATCAAATTCAAAACTGTTTCAAAGATTCTTCATCTGCTTTCGTCCCAAATCAAGGTAGAAAACAGTGAGACCTTTCACCTCTCAAACTTCCGCCATTTTTGCATCTATCTGTTCCCTGAAACTTGCAGATGGCTTTTGTTCTTGGTGGGGTCTTTGGGTTTTCTTTATTTTTGGATGTCGATTATAGCTTTGTCTCGAAGAAATAAAACCCATTTTTTGTTTATGTTTTTGGTCGACAGAGTTATTATTACCGCCACTGGTTCGTTTCACACTTTACTACACAAATTCACACGTTATTTACAGTCTTTCCATCTCGAGGTTTAGTGGGTGTTTTGCTTGTTTACTACATAAATGTGGGTTTATTTGGTCGATTGTTTTCGTATAGGGTTTATTAAGATCAGGGTTTATTAGGGTTCTAAGTACTTTACACCTCAATTTCTCAGTCTTTCTTTGGTTCTTATGTGATTTGTATGATATACTAAAGCATTTGCGATCTGGGTTTCAATCATCTTTGCAGATTCAGGGATAATACAGTAATTTTATAAGCGATGGCCGGAGGTGGTGGTGGTGGTGGAGCAAAAGCCGACGAGCCGGCGCCACACCCACCAAAAGATCAGCTTCCAAATGTTTCCTACTGCATTACAAGTCCACCTCCATGGCGTAAGTTTTCTTGTTTTGTTTTCTGATTTCATTTATAGTTTATTTTTGTTGTGAAAAAGGTGTTTCAAGATTCTTGATGTGGTGTTTGAGTACTTTAAGGTTTCTTATTTGGTATCAGTTGATTCTGATTCTTGAGCAATCTTGATCAAGTCCAGTATTTAATTATGCCATGTTTCTTTAATTATGGAAACTGGATTTGGGTGTTGAAATTTGGATGAATTGAAGTCAATTTGGGTGACAAATTGCTTGAATCTTGAATCTCCATTGTTGTCTGTGACCTTTTCTAGCCCATTGTTGTCTGTGACCACACATCGCTGTCACCACCACCATCGGCTACTAGTCTATCGCTACCACCGTCCATCACCATCTCTACCTCCACCACCTCTACCTCCATAACCACCACCTCCACCACTGTCAGCCGCCACCGTCTCCATGTCCTCCACAACCACCCACCATTAGTCACTGGCCACCACTGCCTCTACCTCCACCACTATCACCATCTCGACTTCCATCACCTTACATTAACCATCATATAAAATTATTAAACGATATTTAGGAGAAACTTCTCAAGCCCAGTCATATCGGGTCCTAATCATGCCAAATACCAAGCACACAACTTGTCCGGTACGGTGTTGATCTCTTGTCCTGTGCTGTGTCATGTCGAATTTGTGTACCAAATGCTACCTTAATACTATAAGCGGTTTACAGGTTGTTTGTTTGCATTAAGTCATAAGAGTCTCAATATCATTCAGACCACTTAATCATTCAGTATCTATCAAACAACGCTTTACATAAAGATAGCTAATACTTAATGACGTGCCCATCTTCTATGTTTTTACTTGAAAAAGATGTTTTTGTGTAAATCTTGAATTACCCTACAAGAAGAGTGGCAAATTCTTGAGGAACCGTAACTCAAAACGGATGCCTACTAGATATGTGTGATCGTCTTACTTGCTTTGCAAATAGTGATCCGTATCTCTAAACCCTAAACCCTAAACCCTAAAACTGCTATTGAACTCATTTGAATTATGCATTTTTTTGCAGCTGAGGCTATACTACTTGGTTTTCAGCATTATATAGTAATGCTTGGTACAACGGTTATCATTCCTACAGCTCTGGTTCCTCAAATGGGAGGTGGAAATGTAAGACATCCGAGCGTAGTTTTAAGTATGCATTCGTTAACACGTTTGGTGAATTATATAAAATGCTGTTTTCATATGTTAGGAGGAGAAAGCAAAAGTGATCCAAACTCTGCTTTTCGTTGCTGGATTGAACACGTTGTTGCAAACTATGTTTGGGACTCGGTTGCCTGCTGTGATCGGGGGTTCATATACTTTCGTTGCACCCACGATCTCGATTATATTATCTAGTCGATGGAGCGATCCTGATCCTATCGTGGTGAACCAAATTGCTTTGAATCTTTATCGAGTTTTTGAATCTTGAAAAGAAGAATGTTAAATATATCTCACGAGTTTCAAATTTTCATGCTTTCCCTGTTCAGAGATTCAAGAAAACGATGCGTGCAATCCAGGGTGCTATGATTGTCGCTTCGACGCTTCAAATCGTTCTAGGTTTCAGCGGTTTATGGCGAAATATTTCTAGGTCGGTTTAAAATTCAAGAAACCATAGTGCCACACTTTTCACAACCTGAGGTCTTCACAGAAACAACTCTACTATTGGCCGTTCGGTCCTTTAACTCGATCTCATTAAGGCCTTTATGCTTTCTCTTTCGAATAGTATTTTCCATGAAATTTGTGTCTAACGGCTACATTTCATCGCAATTATCATCGCAGGTTCTTGAGTCCACTTTCAGCTGTTCCGTTGGTTGCTCTTGCTGGTTTTGGGCTATATGAATTTGGATTCCCCGGGGTGAGATATATATTCTTAGAACAAAATCTTGAGATATATGTTTCGTGGTTGCTTTTATAGATCGAATATAAATCCGCTTCTGTGTTTCAGATTGCCAGATGTGTCGAGATTGGGCTGCCTCAGCTCATATTTCTGATCATTCTGTCTCAGGTAACAGCGATTTTGCAGTAATAAAGCACGAGTAAATATAGAAACTGATGCTAGATAACGATTACCGGATATGGAGACTGATTTGGATCTTAAATCGGTCCATGACTTTGTGTAATTCTGTTAATGTGTGTGAGATTATCGATCCTAGCAACGTCTTTGATGACGTAGTTTCCTTGGTTATGTGCAGTATCTACCCCATTTGATACATTCGGGAAGGAACATCTTTGATCGTTTTGCTGTTGTGATCTCTATTGCAATCGTTTGGATTTATGCTCACTTACTTACGGTTGGTGGTGCCTACAACCATGCAGCACCCAAGACCCAAACAAGCTGTCGGACGGATCGTGCTGGACTTATTGATGCGGCTCCCTGGTTAGCCGTTGTTCTTTATTTCATTATCCCAAACTGTTTTACATGCCTCGCCATATGTGTTTTAATGGAGGATAAACCGTTTCAGGATAAGAGTTCCGTATCCATTTCAATGGGGTGCACCCTCGTTCGATGCTGGTGAAGCCTTTGCTATGATGTTGACTACTCTTGTTACGCTTTTGGAGGTCCCTTTTCTTTAAAACAAGTTGATATCTTTATGGTTATCGAGTATATTTGTGTAATAACGATCAAGAATATCGTCAAATCCCTTTTTTTACGTGTTTCGATGTTATGATTTAGTCCACTGGCGGGTTCATTGCGGTTTCGAGGTATGCAAGTGCAACTCCGATGCCTCCATCCATTCTAAGTCGCGGTGTTGGTTGGCAGGTAATTATCCTTCTTGCTTTTCAGATTCTTGTAATAAGAAAATAGGCACGGGAAGGACGCCAAGAGCAAATGTTAGAGATAACGTTGTTTACCTACACTTCTGACTGACCGAGGTGTTGACGGAGTCCTCCACCAATAATATGTCACTGACTGATTCAGACAGTGCTTACCCAGACCGAACCTTTTACCCAAACCGCACTATTACCTGGTTAGCACGCTTACCCAATGATGGTAAATGGCCCCTGAGACTCGGTTTAACACAACTTCACTGTCCCTTTCCGTTCAGCACTTGTAACCACAAATAACCAAAGGTTCAACTTTTTTGAACTCCCAAATGAATCAACTGTCTTTATTGCTAGGGAGTCGGCATTTTGTTGTCGGGCGTGTTCGGAACCGTTAATGGATCTTCGGTATCTATGTAAGTCACAGTAATAACAGCTCTAATTCCAAATCGCAGCTTTTTGGAGCTTTTTTGAAACAATCGCATCTCATGGTGTCTTTGCAGTGAGAATGCCGGTCTTTTGGCATTGACCCGTGTGGGTAGTCGAAGAGTGGTACAGATCTCGGCCGGATTCATGATCTTCTTTTCGATTCTTGGTAGGTTGTTTGTACCTTTTTTCATCCAAGCAACGGTCAAAACATGGATTCAAACATATCGAGCGGTCTTATGCAGGGAAATTCGGAGCACTTTTTGCCTCAATTCCGGTACCCATTTTCGCTGCTCTGTATTGCCTTTTCTTTGCTTATGTGGGTAAGTTTTAAGCGTTTCAGATATACGCGGTTTGTTTGGTTTGATTTCGTTTAAAGCCAACTTTTCTTCGTTTCATTTTTTCGATTTCTTTTTTCTGTTTTGAAAAACGTTAATATTTCGTCATGTTTGTGCAGGCTCGGCTGGTCTGAGCTACCTGCAATTCTGCAACCTCAACAGTTTCAGAACGAAGTTCATACTCGGATTTTCTTTCTTTCTGGGCTTGTCCGTGCCCCAGTACTTCAACGAGTACGAAGCTATTAACGGTTATGGTCCGGTCCACACGTCTGCAAGATGGGTATGCAAGAAAACGTCCATATCCAAGATATTACTCATTTACCTTAGCTTTGCCAGTTGCCCGAGTGCGTTTGGTACACGGGATGGGACATGACAGGACAAGATAGTACAAAAGACTTGTTGTCCCATGTTTGAATGGGACGTGATATGACCCGAGTCAGACAAAAATGCATTTTTCTTTTGTTCCACCAAAATAGGTGGACAAAAATCTGGGAGATGGAGACAAGATTGATAAATTACTAAATTACCCATGTCAAATTAAAACCCTAAAACTTTGCACAAATCTTTCATTTGCCTACCTCACTCTTGTCTGTCTAGTCGTGTCAGCATACCATACGTTGCTTACCTGATTGTTATGTGGTGCCTTAGCGACCTTAACTCGTGTATTCATATGTGAATTTGTAGTTCAACAACATGGTGAACGTTCCTTTCTCGTCCGAGGCCTTTGTAGCTGGCATTTTGGCGTATTTTCTGGACAACACGATTCACAAGAAGGACGGTTCAATAAGGAAAGACCGTGGAAAGCATTGGTGGGATAAGTTCCATTCATTCAAGACCGACCCGAGAACCGAAGAGTTCTATTCGTTGCCCTTCAATCTCAACAAATACTTCCCATCTGTGTGAAAAGGCACCTTGTTAGATGTTTTAGTTAAATATCGAACTTCAATCCGATCGAATCCGTTCGTTAATTAATTTGTTCTTTTGTCACTGTAAATTTGACGGATGCGAAAGATAAAGGATTGGTTATTGTTGTTGTTTTTATGATGGCTGAATGAGTGTCTGTCTGGGTTGAAACTACACTTCTGAAAGAAGTTGATGATGGTTGAATTGCTGGGAAGGTGTACCAATTTGAAATACAGAACAGGTCCGAAAGTTTTTGGGCCCAATTATGCACCTTTGAGCCTTTCCAAATTATATATATATATACTTTCCAAATTATATATATATACTTTCCAAGAAATCCCCACCGAAAGATACACACTATTCCGTCTTTTCTATCAAATCGATCATAACCACTACCTACATTCCACGAAATTGTGCACCATAAATAGGAGYTAATAAAAAGACCCGCGATCCCATAGAAAGACATCACAATTCCTTGTGGAAAAAAAACTATTTCCTGAGAYGGAAATAAAGATATCAAATTTCTACCAAGATAACTGGAGGTTCCAACCAACAAGAATCCTAATGAACCTAAAAAAAGGATAACAGCCCAGCAGAAAWTACTTGTTTYTCGAGCCCCCGTTATAGGTTCTATCCATATATGTTCTGATCGACAACTCATACTTGATCCGGTTGCTTTTTTTGG